CGGTTAAACTGAGGATTACACAGGAGATTAGGCAAGGAGCTATCCAAGGTGGCTCAGCAGGTAGAACCACAGCCAGCTACAGAAGAGGCCTTGGGTTTAGATCCGGTTCCTGACAGTTTGGGGCTTGACAAAATGGGAGTCTTTAAATGGTGCGGATATTGAAAAAATGGGTGTGGTCATTGAGGTGTGCTGTAAAGCTTTCTCGCACAGGGCGCCTAAAGGCCTAAGGCCGGCCTTGTCTGGCGAAACAGATGAAGTGCAGAGGTTTTTTTTTTGCTGTTGCTGTACATTGTGACATGTCAGGAATTTATTAATGCGTACTTGTAATGTTACTGAAAGGTCCTATTTAAGCTCCCCTTCTCCGGGTCACTTGATCTTTACTCAGTGCATTGGAACCTGTACAAGAAGCATTGAGTGGGCAGCAGAGTAGAGCCAAGAGTGTGCAGGTCCTGTGCCAAAATCCTGCAGCTTTATGATCCCGGGACAGAAGGAACTCCTTTACTCTTTATGCTTACCTGTTTTATAAGTCAGGAGAGCTAATCCCAAACGCACCCAATGCTGGTCCCTTGCTGTCACATAGACTTGATGGATCAAAAAAGTTAAGCTGTCCATACACTGTTAGATTTCTTTGTGTTACGCGCTAAACATTGTAGACAGACAGATCCCCCGTTGTGGATAAAAAAAATAATTTATATATGTCATTATTTTTTTAAATTATTATTATTTTTTATTATCATTTATTTATATACATTCTTTAAGTGCCAGTGCCCAGCTTCCCGTGCCTTTTGTTGTAATATCTTGTTTATCAGCCCTACAAATGGCCAGAATTGAATAACAATTTTCACCCTCTAGACTTCAGTGAGGTTCACTGTAAAGTTTACGATCTCGAGCAAGATTTGCAAAACTGTGAACCGAACCCATGCAGGTTTGCTCATCCCTACTGGAATGGTACGTTTGTTAGGAAAAGTGCCAGAGATAGCTGGAGCTGCTTATTTATTTTTATAAGATTCTAGGAACTGATTGCTTTTAATTTTTTCTGCTCAAGCGAGAGCTTTAAAAAAACAAAACACTAAAGTGATGATATCTTTCTGGCATTATAAATAAATCATCTCTAAATGGGCACTTGGAGTCAATGTATTCTTTCTTCACTTTATAAAAGTGCTATCAAACACACAGCCCTATTTTCTATTCTTTTTGTAATACTGTGAGGAAAATCAATCAAGCATTGTTTCACATACATAATAAAATTAAATTGCTGGAAATGCACAGATACTCTAGAATTCCTAATTCAAAACACAATTGATTCTTACCCTGAATGAAAATCAAATGCATTTTATATTCCCAAAAAAAGTTCAGTGGAAGGACGGCAGCAAACGGTGACTGGAAGATTCTTATATTTCATCGTACATAAAGCAAGGATCGCCTGGGATTTTGTTAGCATCCACATTCAATAAGTGTGCCTTTCATCTTCCCATGATGCACTGAAAGTAAAAAAAGAAAATAATCAGATTAGTAGCATTGATGCTCAGCATCCCAAAGCAACCAGTCAGTATCCCAAAGTGAGCAGATTTTGGAATGGCATCCATTTAACCAATGGTACAGGAAGCAGAGGTTGAGATCTCCATCAAGGTTGAGATTTCCATCATCTTCAAGAACTCATGGCGGATATCATCACCTTTAGCCACATCTAGAGGGGTATTGGGTCTGCCCTACTTTAGCTTTGCTGGGGAAAACTGGGTTTGAAAACTATTTTCTGGAAGCAACCAGGGATAAGGAAGGGGACAATCAACAAGTGGTGTCCATGATGACACAAGTTTTTCAAGAAACCATTCATATTTTGCCACTTTTAGTCAGGTGACAATAGATAAGCAGCTCTCCTTGGGTAAAATCTTCTCCAGCAGAAAGGTCAAAACAAAGACCTTAGAAGACAGAAGATCCTAAATTAGATGACACTTCTCAGTCCTCTTCAGAAGAAGAATTAGGTAGGCTCAAATTCTCCTTAGTAAAACCATTTGTGAAATCAGTCAGGCAAGCTCTTCTTTGAGAAGATGCGGCTGAACAAAAACAGATGAAGAAAAAAATCTTTAAACATCTAAAAAAGTAAGTTATCCCCTTTCCTTTCATAGAAAGGAGAATATTTTTGATGAATGGGACTATGTTGATAAAACAAATATTTGTTGCATAATTGCACTTGCACTCCTCTTTTTCTAAGTCTTCTAAGGGGGCATATAATTTTACACTTTCCTTTTCACTATATTGCACACCACACTATTTTTTTCCACCGCTCCAAGCTTGCTCCTGTGATGAACTACAATCTCAATACAAACTAGTAGTCCATCACTGGAACCATTTTTAATTTTTTTTTATTGTTTATCCGATTAACCGATTAATCGAACTTAATAATCGGCTAACTAATCGATTTTGAAAATAATCGTTAGCTGCAGCTCTAGTGTATACATGTTCGTGGTGTGTTTATAAGGTTAGTAAATCAACCCCATTGGGTCAAAAGTCCTTTTTAGATTTTGCCTAACAAAGTTTGCCAGGTTGGAGCCAGGTTTAATCGGGTTCCAGTGGGTTTGGGCCGACAGGGTCAAGGACCAATCGGTTTGAAAAGCAATTGTGGGGGTCAAGCATGGAAATTCCAAAGAACCCCCATCTCAAGGTCGTGCCAACAAAGTTTCCATCATGCACGATCAAAACTGAAATCATTCATACCTATGTGAAACCCTGTTTGAGCATTCCACTGGGGCAGGCAAAGGTAAAAAAGGTAAAAAAGCATCCAGCCAGGTTATCGTTTCATGGATGCTTGAGACCATATTGTTGGCATACAAGGTAAACGGCTTGCAAGAGTGGGTTATGGCACAGTACTTTGCAGAAGCCAGTTGCCGCAGAGACCATTTGTAAAGCAGCAACCTGGTCCTCAATAACTGCCTTTTTGTCTCATTACTGTGTTAAATCTGCCTATCTTGCTACTGTAACTTTTGGGCAGAATGTGATTTCCTCTGCTTCCACTTAAAATATTAATCAATCCCTCCTTCAAGTGTCAAATTATTTCCCATCAGGAGCTGTCAGGAAACAGGAAAATTGTCTTCAAATACTTACCATAATTTTCTACTTCTGAAAAGCTCCATGGCTGCATAATATCCTTCCCTGCTAGAGTAGGCTAAGTGCACAATGTAGAGCTTAAGTAAGGATTCAGATTATTAATTCACAATTCTATGGGGGTAGAGGAGAGGAGAGTACCCATCAGTATGCAGTTACGGAGCTTGTCAGAACAGGAAAATTATGGTAAGTATTTGGAGACAATTTTCCATTTTATTGTCATTATCCCCAGTGATACGACTATGACTCACTCTAAGGTTTTGGCAAGCTCGAGGATTAGATCCGGGGATAGGTTTTATGAGTAGGTGTGGGCTAGATGAGATACTGTATATGGTGTTTTTGTACATATTTTCTTTCTTTGTTTCTATTTTGTTTTCATTGTTAACATTTACAAACAGTTTTCCTTTTTGTTTTTATTCAGGCAAATATGAAATAATTTTCCATCCAGCGTGCAGGTGGTTCTAGATTGAAGATGTTGCCAAAACACTTCAATTATATATAGATGTGCCAGCCATTCCATTAGGGCAGGCAAAGGTAAAAAAGCATCCAGCCAGGTTATCGTTTCATAGATGACTGAGACCATATTGTTGGCATACAAGGTAAAGGGCTTACCAGAGGGGGTTATGGCACACTACTGGGCAGAAGACAGTTTCTGCAGAGACAATTTGTAGACAATTTCCTGTGTTAAATCTGCTTATCTTGCTACTGTATATTTTGGACGGAATGTGATTTCCTCTGCTTCCACTTAAAATATTTAGCAATCCCTCCTTAAAGTGTCAAATTATTTCACATCAGGAGCTGTAAGGAAAAAGGAGAATTGTCTTCAAATACTTACCGTAATTTTCTATTTCTTACAAGCTCCATGACAGCATAATATCCTTCCCAGCTAGAGTAGGCTAAGTACACAACGTAGTGGTTGAATAAGGATTCAGATTGAATAATTCACAGTTCTATGGGGGTAGAGGAGAGTACCCAACAATATGCTGCCATGGAGCTTGTCAATGAAGGAAAATTATTGTAAGTATATGGAGACAATTTTCCAGTTTGCTGTCATTATCCTCAGTGATACCATTATGACTCACTCTAAGGATTAGGTAAGCTTGAGGATTCGATCTGGGGATAGGTTTTATGAGTAGGTGGGGGCTAGATGAGATCTATGGTGGTTTTGTACATATTTTCGTTCTTTGTTTCTATTTTGTTTTCCTTGTTAAAATTTACAAACAATTTTCTCTTTTGTTTCTATTCAGGTGAATATGAAATAGTTTCCCATCCAGCGTGCAGGTTGTCCTAGTCTGAGAGGTAGTTATTCCTTTTTTTTTTTGCTTCAGATCAGTCACAGTTTGTATAATGGACACCTTCACTTTATTACAGAAGCCCAAGAGCTGAACAATTGAATCCTAATCTGGGCACTGGACCCTGGTTATCACTGACAGCTAGTAGGTGTAGAATCCCGGAGGTAAAGGCTCACCCATAGGAATGAATAGGGTCACCCAGCACATGCACACCTTGAAGACTAGCTGTTGGGGAGACACTTTTTCTAGAAAGTTGTACAGTCCCAGCATATCCTGTGCTGTTATAACGTCAGCAGTGTAATAGGAATACATACTGGAGTTGTTTCTGACAACATCACATCACTTCCAACAACGCCCTGGATTCCCAGTGTGCTTTTTGTTTCTTTCCTTGCTGCTTGATGTGATGCAATCTCCATTTTTCAGGACTACGTAGCACATCATGCATTGCTTCCAGCAAGCAATGATAATGTTACATTGTGGGAAGTTAAGACGCTGAGTTGTAGATCGGACGGCAGGCTTTGTTAGGGTGGTGAAACAAGGAAGAGCATATTCACATCCTGCATTGAGGAACTCCATCCTATGGGAATCTTCAATAAGTAAGTTTACAATCTTCTAGATGGATCTGGTCATTAGGAGTGGGATAGAACATGTGGAAATTCAATATAGAAATACAGATTTTTGATCATAGATACCCTTTAAGGCCTGATTGAGATGACACGCCTGGGGGATGCTGGGCAAGGCCTACAGACATATAAATGTTCTTCAATCTGACCACATATGACCAGATCAGGTAAACATTCTCAAATGTCGGTAAAAACCATTAGATATTAAGCATGCTGCTATTGTCAAAAAAGGAGATTGATGTGCTGCCAGTTTCTGCCACCATCTTTCAACGCAGGAAGATTAGTATTTGGCGCAGAGGATAAGGGGTAAATAAAGTAGGTAAAGTAAGTATGCAAACAAGGGGATACGTTTACTAAAAGGAAGGTCAGTGTGAGGGCTTACGGGGGTTCTGTCTGATGAGGGGGCTTTAGGGCCACTTTCTACACAGAAGCTACCTCTGAAGATGCCACTTACTTAGTAGTCATGCTACTCCTTACAATTAGGGATGCACCGATACCGATACTAGTGTTGGCAGAGCCGTTGCTAGCTCTTTTTGCGCCCGAGGCAAGAACTGAAAATTGTGCCCCCCCCAATAGACGTGTGCGGTATGTGACATCATGTGCCCCGCCTCCAGGACGGCGGCATGCAAGCGCCTTTGCCTATACAGGTGGGGGAGAGCAGCGGGGATCCGAAGAGCAGCTGGAGCCTGTGCCGCTCCTCTTCTCCCTGCCAAGCCGCGGCTGTGTTGGCCGCCTGGCACCCCTGTTGCCAATGGCTCCCTGTGCTCGTCATGGCAACAGGGGCAAGGGGGCGCAGCCAGGCCGGCCCTGGCTGTGCCCCCTCTCAGCTGCACCTGAGGCGAGTGCCTCACTCGCCCCATGGTAGCTACAGCCCTGAGTGTTGGTATCGGTGCCGAGTATTTGGGCGAGTACTCGTACTCGCCCAAATGCTCTGATGCCTAGCCCGATACTTCCGGTATCAGGAAGTCGGGCAGCGAGTCATTACACACTGCCCGGCCAATCAGGAAGCCAGGCAGCATGTAATGACTCGCTGCCTGGTTTCCTGATTGGTCGGGAAGCTGGCCAATAAGGAAGCCAGGCGCCTGTGTAATGTATGCAGCACCCAGCTTTCTGATTGGCCGGGAAACCGGCTTTATGCTCCCTCGTCACCTCATGACATGGCGCCTGGCTTCCTGATTGGCCAGAAAGCTAGCTCCATGCTTTCTCATCACCTAGTGACGTGTAAGGATTGTTTTCCTGGCCAATCAGGAAGCCAGGCAGTGTGTACTGATGCGGCGCCCGGCTTTCTGATCGGCCGGGAAGTCGGCTTCATGCTCCCTCGTCACTTCATGACACTGCGCCAGGCTTCCTGATTGGGACTTCCACTATCGGTATTCGGTATCGGCGAGTACCGGGAAAAAAGTATCGGTACTTGTACTCGATACCGAAATACCGGTATCTGTGCATTACTACTTACAATGTAAGTTTACAATCTGCTTTACATTTACTAAACTGCGTAATTAAACTGTCCATTTAGTCCGTATCCATTCCAGAAGGCCTTGGTGCTACAGTTGTTGGCAGATCTCTGAGAAATTGTACAATCAGAGAGTAACTTGTATCAGCTTTGGCCTTCAATACTTTCTTTCTTTTTATTTATTTAAGTTTTAGTAATTTAAACGAATAAACAACATAAATCACATAACGATATTCAAAGATTATTGAACAATTAATGAAAAACGCATGTGTGACAGAAGAACACTCATGTCCAATAATATAATAACAATATTACAGGATTGGAACAAAAGGGAAGGAAGACCATTAGACAAGGGAATGACAAATGACAAACTCTGGTTATGGTATTTGAACTTAATCGAATCATAAAATACATGGATGTTACCCATTAAATAAGTGAGAACTATAAGATGCGTTGCATATTATGATACAATTTAAAAGTAAATGAAAATTCATTGGATCGATAAATTAACACAGTATGAATCTGCGGCCTTAACGTTCAACCAGCTTGCCCAGATTTGATAGAAAGAGGCGTAATCATCCCGATTAGAATATAACAATTCTTCTAGAAGTCTTCAATACTTTCTGTGTCACTTAATCAAAACGGGAGTTCTAACTTCACCTGCTGCATGCTCATCGTGCTCTATATTGTGCTAAATAGAGCTGAATAGCAAGACAGGCAAGTGACATTTTTCAGATCAGCTTCTGTATTTCTCTTAACAATGAATGCAAAAATACAGTATATAGAGAGATACGAGAGAGGGAGAAAGAGAGAGAGGGGGAGAGAGAGAGAGAGAGAGAAATAGAGAGGGGGAGGGAGGGAGAGAGAGAGAGAGAGAGAGAGGGAGGGAGAGAGAGAGGTACAGTATACAGAAAGATACAGTACATACATGGAGAGAGAAATACACTAGACAGAAAAAAAGAGTGAGAGGGAGAGCAATACAGTTTGTAGGGATATACAGTATATATATATAGAGAGAGAGAGAGAAAAAAAAGAGGTAAAGAGAGCAAGACAGAGGAATAAAACGAGATATAGAGTATTTATATGGAAAGAAAGAGGGGGGGGG